GAAACGCTGTCTCAAAAACAAACAAACAAACAAAAAACAAAAAAACAAAAAACCTACTTTGTCTGAAGGTACTAAAACATCTACCCATTTGGAAAAGACTGGGGTACTTCTGAATCGTAATCTACTTAACACTGAAGGCCACACATGAAATAATAAATATCTTGATGCTGGCAGGTACTTGGTTCTACTAAAGATTCCCAAATGCTTGACAAGAATCAACACAATAATGCATACCAAATACATGATACTGCAAAAAAAGAAAATTCTGTATTGTCAATTTTTATTTGGTCAATATTTTTTTAAGAGAAGAAGATAACTTTAAGACAGAAGAACTACAGGGGCTGGAGAGATGGCTCAGAGCTGCTGCTCTTCCAGAGATCTGAGTTCAATTTCCAGCAACCACATGGTGGCTTACAACTATCTGTAATGAGATCTGGTGCCCTCTTCTGGCCTGCAGGCAGGCAGGCATGCAGGTAGAACACAGTATGCAAAATAAATAAATAAATCTACAAATAGCAGAAACAGGGCTGGAGAGATGCTCAGTTAAGAAAGTGTACTGTTCTTGTGAAGGACCCTAGTTCAGGCAGAGAAACTGGCCAGTTATCAGCAGAGAGGAAAACTGAAAGTACTCACTTCAGGATGAACTCAGGCCACACCAACACTTAGAGGAGGGGACCACAGGAGAAAAAATAGCCAAATATGCAGAAGAAAAAACAAAGAAATAGAAAATGTCCTAGAAGCCAGGACAAGTTGCAGTGAAGACAGAAGAAGGGACTAAGATTGTCTCCAAAGAGGAGGAGGGTAGTTCTGTAAGAAATAAAGGTGTGCAATAGAGGAGACTAGCTATTACAGGAGCCAAGCCACTGCCAGGCTAAATGCCGACATGAGGGGGGGCATCTGAGGGCCAGCCAGTCATCAATCACTCATTACTGCTAACAAGCCCCACTGAATGGCTGGATTCAAGGGGTGGACTTCACCACATTTTCACACATGATTGTTTTGTTTTTTGAGGCAGGATTTCTCTGTGTAAAAGCCTTGGCTACCCTGGAACTCGCTCTGTAGACCAGGCTGGCCTTGAACTCACAGAGATCTGCCTGCCTCTGCCTCCTGAGTGCTGGGATTAAAGTCATGTACCACCAAACCCAGTTACACTTAAGGATTTTTGATAACCAAAGTGTTGTGGCATTTGTAAAATGCTGTAGAGACAGGTGAGGTGGCCCATGCCTGTAATCCCAGCAATTGTCAGGCTAAGGTAGGAGGATTGAAAGCAAACTCAAGGCCAGCCTGTGTCACACAGCAAATTCCAAACCAGGCTCTTATAAAACAATAAATATAACTTCTGCATAGTCTAAAATCTAAAGAAACATCAATGTAGATTCCGAGACTACAATTGAAAGATCTGGAAACTCTATTATCATTTATTTTATTTGTTCATGTTGCTTCATTTTCAATACACTCTACCATTTTGACATTCCAATGACACTCAATCTAAGGCAGTGGTTCTCGTCCTTCTAATGCTGTGACCTTTAATACAGTTCCTCGTGTTGTGGTGACCCCCAACCATAAAATTATTTTCACTGCTACTTCATAACTGTAATTTTGCGGTTATCAATTGTAATGTAAATATCTGATATGCAACCCCCAAAGGGGTTGTGACCCACAGGTTGAGAAGTGCTAATTTAAGGAGTAACCACCCAATCAAATAGGAACCAGTTTTTATACTTTTGTATTCACGGTTAGCAGTAAAACACAGATCCAAATTGTTATCTACAAAGAAAATCTCAATAAAAAGTTGAAGCCTAGAGATCCAAACATTAAAACTTTTTGGGTGGAAGGGACAGGGAGACAATATACTACACAGCTGCTCCAAATACAACCCCAATAGCTAATGGGCAGACAGAGGACTACACACCCAACACTGGCACTGGAATAAATGGATAAGGTGCTGTATTTCCTGCAAAACTTTCCCCTCCCTTTAGTTTTCATTTGTTTATTTTTGAGATTATAATTACATCATTTCCCCCTTTCCCTTCCTTCCTCCAAACCCTCCCAGGTTCTCTTTCAAAGTTATGGCCTCTTTTTTAGTTGTTATTATGTGTCAAAATATGTCATTCAACTAATACAAAATATAGCAAACTGTTGTAAACTCCTTTATTAGCAAGACCATGCAGTTTAGCTGTGCCCAAGGAAGCACACTTCATTTCCCTGTGAGGAAGCATACCACAGTGCACACTTGTCCTTGCATGCCCACCCCTCTTCTTTGGTGGAATGGTTTTAAGACAGAGTTTCTCATGTAAACCTGGCTATCCTGGAATTCACTCTATAGACCAGGTTAACCTAGAACTCAGAGATCCACCTGCCTCTGTGCTGGGATTAAACGCCTGGCTATTGTTTTGGAAATGGAATGAGGAAGACACTTGGATTGTAGTTATGGATGCAATTACCTCTGTCATAAGAGAAAATGGCAACAAGGTATTTGCACTGCATGATCCCAGCAAATACTTTCCCTCATTTTCCAGTTTAACTGGTAAGTCTGCCTGATGTTTTCTCCAGAGCTTGACACCCGTCCTCAGAACAAATAAATGATGCTTTCCCTCAAAATGCTTAATTTTTGTTTAAAAAAAATGGAAACTGCTGTTTTCAACAGAAAAGAGTCCTATTGAAATTAATTTGATTACTTTAGGACAATCTTTTTCACAAACTATACGGACAAATGTCCTCTTCGTTGACTCTCTCACTATTTCCTCTTACCAATTCCTCTGGGAATTATTTCCTGACTAACCTTATGATAAGCAGAAACTTTCTGTTCTGCACTTTAACACAATCTAGGCACTATTTACTTCTTTGTTTTGCAAAGGTAAGTTTTGTGCATATATGGTTCCTCAACAAAATTAGAATCTACTTCAGAATAAAATCTGCATGTCCTATTTTCACATAAAATTAAATGTACATTAAGTAGCACCCAATAATTAAACTACAGACTTACCCTCCAGGAATACCAAACAAGATCCAAAGAAAAGGATTAATTTACAAAGTAACCCAGATCCATTGTTGCGAATTCTTGTCAGCCCACACATTCTTGGTATCAGCTGCACAAGCTCATGATAGGTCCCCTGCCAAATACTGCCCAGATCGCCCCATTGCCTCATTTGTCATTCAAAACACATACGTATTTCAGATCCTCCCAAATATTCCTCCTGCACTTACAAAACTTTAGCTACTATCAGTCACAAACACCTTCAATTTGGTCTAATAGAAAGTGATTACACAAATGAATCACTGTACAGCACAGTAAGTAGCCAAAAAAACTAACCGAGAGTAAACAAAGCCAGCATGTCTATGGATTCACTCTGGGTGGAGGTACTCAGCTAGAATAAGAGAATCAAATATGTGTTCAGGTTTCTCCAATCATGAAAACTGGTTTTGTCTACTTGATTAAGTTAATGAATAGGGCTTCACTGTGTTGTCTTTAAAAAAAACTCTTTAAAAATGGTTTTGGGTTTTTTTGTTGCTGTTGTTGCTATTCTAAGACTTACTATTCATTTACATTTTGTGTGTATGTGTGTTTTACCTGCATGTATATCTGTGCACATGACCATGTGAGTTGCCTGCAGAAGAGGCCAGAAGATGGTATTGGACCCCCTTGAACTGGATGGTTGTTAACAACTATTATGAGTGGTGAGAATCAAACCCAGGGTCCCTGGAAGGAAGAACAGCCAATGCTCTTAACCACTGAGGCATTTCACTAAACCTGAAAAACACACTAAAAAATTTTTTTTAAGTTTTTTGAGCAGGGTCTGTTTATATAGTCCTGGAACTCATTATGTAGACCAGACTGACCTTGAAATCAGAGATCCTTCTGCCTCTGCCTCTGCCTCCCAAAGTGCTAGGACTAAGTGTCTGTACCACCATACCTGGCCTGAGAAATGAAATGAATTACCTTGTAGGCATTTCAGGGCAATGTGTAGAAAGGCCAACTTGTGAGGCTAGGCTGGAAAGCAGATACAAAATGATGATGAAAGTGCACTCAGGAGACAGAAGCACGTGGATCTCTGTGAGTTCGAAGCCAGCCTGGTCTACACAGCGAGTTCCAGGACAGGCTCCAAAGCAATACAGAGAAACCATGTCTTGAAAACAGACTGTCTTAGCCACATTCAGCTTGGGGACATATTTGTTTGGGGACAGGCACTGACCTGTAAACTGAACAACTATGTCCAATCTGTCCAAGAGACTCCAGTCTCTGCAGAACATTATACACACAATGCAGGATCCAGAAAGAAGGGTGACCATTCCTTCCTCATCATATAAGCTGTAACACTAGGCAACTTTTAGACACACTGCTTGTGATTTTTAGATTTCTAATCTGTAACAGGGCTACTGTTGTCTTTCGTTAAGTTCTTGTGGTGTGGTTAAGTTAAAAAAGTTACATGTTGCACAGCAGTGATAGTGCACCCCTTTAATCTCAGCACTCAGGAAAAGGCAGGTAGGTGGTTCTCTGGAAGCCAGCCTGGTTTAAAGAGTGAGCTCCAGGACAACCAGGCTATAGAGAAACCCTGTCTCAAAAAGAACAAATAAGTTAAATATTTTGCTCTGTTTTTGTCTTAGATGTTTGTTTTACCCACATGTGTGCATTTTGCCTGCATGTTTGTATGTGGGTCAGAGAGTGCAGTTATGAGCCCCCAAGTGGATGCTGGGAACCGAACTCAGGTCCTCTGCAAGAGCAAGTGCTCTTAGCCACTGATTATCTCTTCAGCCCCAAATGTTTTGCTTGGAGTATTTTCACAAAGTTTTTGTTACAGTTGTTTGGTTTCTGCTTTGTTATAAGACAGAGTCTCACTGTGTATCCCAGGCTGCCTCAAAGTCACAGCAGCCTTCCTGTCTCAAAAGTTTAATTCCATGTGCCCAAACTTCGACTTGGGAGGGAAAAAGACTGTGTGAAGATGGCAGCATTTCCACAAACAGATCCTATTTCACAGAACCAAAGACTCCCTGACAGTTACCTTTTGTTCTTCTCTTTCTGTTGCATGGTGGCACTTTTCAATTCTCCAATGCCTCAAGAAATCTCGAAGATATCCAAAGAGGGTGAGTACGCCATACCCCACATAAGTGAGCACAGCAACCAACATGGGTGTTTCTTCAAAAACTTCATTAAACGGTCTTTTATAAAGTCCTCCATTTTCTGTAACATGATGAATCTAAGAGAGCAATTAAAAATGTTTGTTGAAATCACAGCAAGAAAACAATTTTCTACTTAAATATTTAGTCCTGAGAAATTTGTAGAACAATATACCTTGGGAATTAAGTAACAAACTGATGAAACACTACGGCTATGCTCATTTTTCAGAGAAATGATTTAAAACTCAATTACAAACAATGAAAGGGAGGAAGTAGTGAAAAGGACAGAATCAATGATGACTAACACTGATTATCTGGCTAGGCGTTGGTGGTGCACGCCTTTAGTTCCAGCACTTGGGAGGCAGAGGCAGGCGGATTTCTGTGAGTGCGAGGCTAGCTTTGTCTACAGAGCTAGCTCCAGGACAAGCTCCAAAACAATACAGAGAAACCATGTCTCAAAAACCAAAAACAGGTTGGAGAGATGGCTCAGAGGTTAAGAGCACTGACTGCTCTTCCAGAGGTCCTGAGTTCAATTCCCAGCAACCACATGGTGGCTCACAACCATCTGTAATGAGATCTGGTGCCCTCTTCTGGCATGCATGCAAACATGTAAGTAGAACACTGTATACATAATAAATAAAATCTTAAAAAAAAAACAAAACAAAAAAACACACTGATCTTCTGAAGCAGATTCTAAAAACACTATTATTTTCAGGGAGCATGATTTCCTTTGTTCTAATAAAGAAAATAAAAATATATAAAGAGACAGCCTAGTCTAAAATATACTGGTTTAACTTATTAACAAGGTAATCACATGTGCAAAAGTAAATTCAGTTTTATAATACAAAATATGTGTAAAGTTTTTACTACTAGCCATTCTTTTGGGGGGAGGGCTTTTCAAGACAGGGTTTCTGTGTAGCTCTGGCTGTCCTGGAACTAGGTAGACAAGGCCAGCCTCGAACTCAGAGATCTGCCTGCCTCTGCCTCCCCAGTGCTGGGATTAAAGGCTGTGCCACTAACGCCTGGCTCTGTACCAGTCATTCTTAAAGCCATTCAACTATTGTATTTCAAACGACTATCGGCATTAGGCTGCGGCAGGTGCCTATTAACCTTCTTCAGTGATAATACACACACAAACATAAAAAGAGGGCTGACAAGAGAGCTCAGCAGTTATAGGCTTTGGCTGCTAAGGCTGACGACTTGAGTTCAATCCCTAGGATCTACACGATGAACTCACATAAGCTGTCCTGACTCCCACACATGAGCTGTATGTAGCACACAGGTGCCCACAATAATACATATAATATAGCCAGCTGAGAAAAGTTCCTTACAAGGGGTATAAGAGGATGAGGGAAAGAAAAGGGTAGGAACATCAACCAAAACTAAATACGAAAAAGTCTTACAGAAACCAAGTACTTTGTAAAATAATCTTTAAAAAAAAAATTAAGGGGTTTCAATGGAGGTACCCTACATGGGTGGAAAAGGCTTCCCTGAGAAGAACTAAATAAAAAACAAAAATTAAAAATTAAAGAATAAAGCCTGGCAGTGGTGGCACACCTTTAACCTCAGAACTCAGGAGGCAGAGGCAGGCAGAACTCTGGAAGTTAAAGGCCAGCCTGGTCTACAGATCAAGTTCCAGGACAGTCAGGGCTACACACACACAAAAAAAAAAAAAACAAAAAACAAAAACAACGTGTCTGGGAAGTGGGGGGAGAAGAACTAACTAATAACAAAGAAGGTAAATTTTACTTAGGAAGGACAACTGTTAACAAGCAGCAGGCCGGGCGGTGGTGATACACATCTTTAACCCCAGCACTCGGGAGGTAGAGGCAGAGGAAGGTGGATCTCTGTGAGTTCAAGGCCAGCCTGGTCTACAGAGTGAGTTCCAGGATAGCCGGTGCTACAGAGAAACCGTCTCGAAAAACGAAAAGAAAAACAAACTAGGAGCTGGGAAATGGCTGTCAGTTTGTGCCACATAAAGCACGAAGACTCCAGCACCTAGGTAACAAGCTAGTAATCTCAGTGATAGCAATATCCTGTCTCAAAGACAAACAAACCTTGTAAGGAAACATCAAAATAATCAACATTTTAAGGAAGTTTATCATTTTTGTGTTGGGTCCCATTCATAGCTATCCTGAGGCACAGGCTGAACACACCTGATTCTAGAGCCTCCAGGGAACCTTCATCTGCTTATTAGTTCTCAACAGACCTCAGATACTGAAGCAAACAAATCTATGTTGCAATCTCAATTTCTTCCCCCACAACTCTAAATTTACATTCCTATTATTCTCTATCCTTTGGATTCCATGGCATCTCAAGCTCAACAAAACTAATACTGAACTGATCTTCCCATCCAACCCCTCCCTCCCCATCCACCAAATCCTGATCCTCCCTATTACCTCTCTTGGTCACTAGTATCACCACCCAGTCCACCCTGACTCCTAAGCTTGCAGTCATCTTTAACTCCACCTTATTTTCTGGCTTCCACCCAGAGTTAGTTCCAGACCTTCTTGTTTGGCACCAGGGAGTGTGTTTTGTTTCTTTTTAGACAGGGTCTCAGGTAGCCAAAGATTATCTTGAACTCCTCCTAATCCTGTCTCCACATGCCAAGTGCTAGCTAGGATTACAGATCTGTACCACCACATCAAATTGGCATCAGGGAATCATAAGGGCTGGGAGCCTGAAAGTGTTGCATATCTTGACAGATACAGATTGCAAACACACAGAAATTACAATTCAATAGTGTGGTACAAGAGACTAGTGCAACCTATTCCTCAATTACACAAAACCCCAAAACTCAGCTCCTCAGAAAAAAACTAGTGCATGTATGTACATATAGAGATCAGAGGTTGATGTCAGGCGTCTTCCTCAATTATTCTATACCTTACACCGTATACCCTTTTGTCCAACCAACCCCACTAGTAAAATGTTCATTGCAATGAGTCACTGGTCTGATTCAAGGTCATTATCACTGGACCCTCACCGAAATTACTCTCCAATTTCCTGTTTTTGCCACAAGTTGTGGAGATCCTGTGGCTATCATTCCACAGGACCAGTCCCTTCACACACTCTAGCAGGTCATATATGGAGTAGATGTGAGGGACAACCCAAGGCTTAGATTGTCTGTCTGGGCTTTTGGGACTGCCCCCCCTCAGGTGAAGGACTGAGGCAGCTCTCCTAGGCCCTTGCCATCAGGGCAAGTTCTCCCATATCTGTGGTGAGGGGTGGAGCAATCTCCCATGAGGGGCGGGGGCAACTTTCCTGCTACAATGTCCAGGGAGGGAGGGGTAGGACCAAAAGCTCAGCACAGCCCTCCGATTTCAATGCACACAGTTCCTATGACCCTCTGTGGTAACACAGGCCATAGACATCAACACAGACCCCAGCTGCAGGAGAAACATGAACCCAGACATGGCCCTCATGGGCAACTTTGGCCTGGACATCACCATGACCCCGGTGGCATCACAGGCCACCCAGGTCAGTATGGCACCCATGGCAGCAAAGTCCTCCCACACCAACATGGTCTCAGCAGATCCTGGGCATCCGCACAGCCCTCTGTGATTAACAGGAGACATGGACATCAACTCAGACCCTGGCTGCTGCTCAGACACAGACACAGACTTGGCCATAGGCAACTGCCCAGCCTGAAGGATACAATGGCCCCATGTGGCAGCACAGGCCAACCAGATCCGTATGGTCCCAATAGCAGCATAACCCTCAAACACCAACATGACTACAGGTTGTAGCCTAGAACCCAGGCATCCATGTGACCCTTGGTGGTACCATGGGCCAGGGACATCAACACAGACCCAGCTGTTATAAGGTCACAGAATGGTCCTCAGCAGCAGTTGAGGCTCAGATTGGTGGTGAATACCTTTAATAAGCAAAGCAAGTTCCAGGACAGTTACATAGAGAAACCCTGTCTGGGGTGGAGGTGGGCGGTGAATGATGGACTTTTGCAGCTTTGACAATGTTTTTTTAAAAATTTTAGCCAGGCAGTGGTGGTGCATACCTTTAATCCCAGCACTTGGGAGGCAGAGGCAGGCAGATCTCTGTGAGTTTGAGACCAGCCTGGTCTACAGAGCTAGTTTCAGGACAGCTAGGGCTGTTACACAGAGAAACCCTGCTTTGACAAACAAAAAAGAAAAAGAAAAAGAAAATGCCACACTGACGAGCCTACAGGTAAATCTGTTTTCTCAATTGAGGTTCCCTCCTCCCAAGTTACTCTAGTTTGGGTCAAGTAGACAAAAACAAAAACTGACACATACACACACACCTTGAAGCCCTAAAGAGTTTTATAACCCAATATATACCAAACAACAGTATAAAAAATTATAAGAGCTTTTAATAGGAGAAATTGCACTTGTCATGTTTCAGTTGTAATGAGGTACTAAAGAAGGCTCTAGCTAAACTAAATGAGAAAGTGACTTATTGAAAGGATGGTGGTTTGCAATAAGGGAGAAAACTGATGAGGACAAGTAACTCTGAAAGGCATAAAGCAGCAAGCTCCCAGGCCTTATAGCAGAGGTTTCCTAACCCTTTCTCCTGGCAGCCAACCACCTTTCAGACTCTCTCATCAGAAACTCCAGTCTCTGTGAGAGAGGGTTGTTGGGTTCCTTTTTGTAAGCATTATGACCAAGGAAATATGGTCTAATTGCAGATGCGACCATAGGAGTCCACCCCACACATCAAAAGGGTTCTCAGACATATTAAGAGTTGTGTGAGAGCTGAGACAAAGAACAGGATATGTAGCAGAGCTGCCAGTTGTTCAGTCTCCTATCTGAGCCTGTAATGCTGATTAATGCTTGACTGAAACAGAAACTAAATGTCCCCAAACTGTGGAACACTTGGTCCCAAGTTGCCAGTGGGGAGCCTTTGAGAGAAGAGTCCTAGCTGGTAGCAATCAGTCCTGGTAGCAGGCCTTGAAGGTTATAGCAGAGCCTGATCCTAATCTAGAGCTCTCTGCTTCCTGGTCCACCACCCCAAGCTAGCAGGGCTCTGTCACACACTCCTACCTGCATGGAACTGCCTCTACCACCATGATGGACTGGATCCCTAAAACTGCTGTCAGGTGTTTTGT